TCCTAACAAGACCCAACCAAAAGCGGTCTCGATAGCTGTTGGTTCGCCCTTTTTCCCAGATACACGACCTTCGCGAATAATTTTTCCGAATATTTCTACCCCTACTAGCAGATCTATAGCTCTAGAAATAAAATATTCTTTATCAGCCAACTTTAAACTCTTTAAGTGATCCCATTGCCCTTTTGGAATATCGCAAAATGGTAAATTTGAAGACAAGTTTGGAACTACTATTGCTTCAAAGGAGAAGGTAGGCCCAGAATTATTTTGTGCTTTTATTTCGCAAGTAGTAATGCCCTTTGAAGAAAAGGATACCATTTGATTTAACCCGTAAATTGCTGTAGAATATGGACGTCGGACGAGATTTAGCCTACGCAAACATTTTTCGCTGATAAAGCAATCTGTACTTCCAGAATCAATCATAATACGAACAGGGTGAGAAAAACCCTGATTATCGTAAATATCGACCACCGCGGTAGCTAATAGGCTCGTAACCTGAGGTATGTTATTTTGTATAGCCAAACATGCAGTATTACAATGCGTTTCCTGCTGATGTGTGGTAGTTTCTTGAGTTGAACTTGATGGTAATGCAATATCGGAATTTTTAAATATGTGTAACGAACTGTGATGCTTTCCATTGCAACTATTTACTCTACATCGAAATCGCGAAGAACAAGCATTTGTTGCGTGACCATGATAAAGACAATTTGAACAAAGTTTGTTATTTTTAACAAAATTGTTTCTTTCAATTATTGATTTTTCCAGAAATTTGGGACATTTTGATAGGACATGTGATTCTTTACACAAATAGCACTGTATTTTAGAAATGTTCGTTTGTAAAGAGAATGCGGAAGTTTTTGATATATTAACACTCTTAGAAATATTTGAAAATTTCGAATTGGAAAAGGGAACTTTATTTATCTTAGGGGCAGATAAATGTTGCACTGATTCGAGTGCCTTGCACCTGTTTTCCAGGAATTCATAAAGTTGTTTATATGTAGGAATTTCTTCTGAACTATATTGGATTTCAAAGCTTGTACGAATTTCCATTGGAGTTTTTTCTAATAATAAATGGAACAGCACGAAACACCACGAATCCACAGCGAAAGTTAAGGATTTCAACGTTTCCAAGGACTCGAAAAATGTATTGAGAAGATTTCTTAGTTCTTTAGGAGACTCGCCCTTACAGGTGACAGCCATTATGGAATTCATGGCATTCGTTGCCAAGAAACGTTTATTTTGGTAACGTTTTTCTAATTTATTGTACGCCAAAATGTAATTAGCATCAGTAATTTTGAATCCACTGATTAACCTCTGAGGTTCACCTTCAAGATAGGAAAGTAGGTATTTTAATTTTGAGGCACAGGAAATGGATGTATTATTATGTACAATTTGATTGTACATATCAAAGAAAGTGGGCCAAAAATTCAGATCCCCGTTGAACTTTGGAACATGTAGTTGAGGAAGAGATTCTGCTTTTTGTGAAGTGGAAGGAACAGGAGGTGAAGTAAGAGATGCTATTTTCGCTGCCTGCTGTATGGCTTCTTCATCGTCTAGGGGCTTACAAATTTTATTGTAGTACATTTTGGATTGATAGTAATAAGATTCAGTTTCTCTCCGAACCTTATCTTCAGCGAGGAAATCCTCGTCTTTTTCAGTTAAACCGATGATATCATTGTGATGTTCACAAAATTCTTCAAATGCATTTTGTAGATCACCATATCTTACTCTGAAAAGACCGATCGTTTCCTCGTTCCCTTGTGAAGTAGCAGCAAGTGCATTTTTGAAAACCTCAGTTATGCGCGCCGCGCATGCACTTCGTCTAGCTATAAGGCGCTTTAATTCAGTCATCTTGTCTGTTTAAATGTAAGAAATAATTATAGTTTTCACTTTGAAAACTCGAAATGATTTTTACCCTGAAATGTAGGTATACTACAGAAGAAAATTCGGTTTTTTACCGACAAAATGATATGGAAGTGGAAAATGTGGTTGGATTCTACCACTGAAGAAAAGGAGAAAATTTTAATCACATTTGATAATCAAGAAACAACAACGTAGGAACTGGAATAATGTCGTTCGCGCTCGGACTATACACCGTTTGTTCAGTGAAAAGATCGCGAAATGCCCGTTGCAGTGGCTTCGCAGAGAGGTGGGTCACGCATCGACGATACTATGAGACTGCTGTTGTTTGTTTTGATTGACTTTCGCACTTTGACCGTGAAACTGAAATCGGACTATTTCGGCGAGTACCTGCGGTACTAGCGCCACGGAACTGGACGCCAATTACTGAAATTAAGGATTGATAATGGCGATAGGCCGCCTGCGAAAATGTGAATTAATTAGTACGACAAATTTTTGAAATTGATCTGGCTCGAGAAGGCCCAAAATGTCAGCGCATATACGAAAATGGAAAAGAAAAATGGACTGTATGTTACATTTTACACGTTGACCTTGATAGTTTTCAGAATTGAATATGATTTAATCCTTCGATTAATAATTTATCCTAGGTTGTCGCACACACAAAATGCTTTATAAATGCTAAGGGTGCACTCACCGGCTGTTGTTGTAATCGCCGCAGGTAGGTACCCTGTTACTGGACTGCCATTCCAATCACCAACCCATAAGGAAAGTCTGTTTCACAATTTCACTGGCGAAAGTACTTGAACTTAAATTGAATTTTTAATGGAAATTTCACAGCGTAAACCGGCTACAATGATTGTTAGCCATTCTTGATTGTCTCTGCTTGCGCATGACCACCTATCTCTTGGTGTCTTCACCTGCGTGCGTTCCCCAAAAGCAAGGAAAGCACCTGTGTGTGATTTTAGCGCGAAAAATTGATTGAATGATCAAATAGAAAAATATTATATAGAAAAATTCGTTTATGCGCGAAAAATATTTTTTCACATTATAGTTGGCCTTGACAAACTCCACATTTGGTGTCGTTTAACCGACCTCGTATCTCTCACCGTTAAAAAGATACCCATGGTGAGCATGGTAAGTGGGACACACTGTATATCTCAGTTATAAGTCATGCGATTCCAACCAAATTCGGTATGTGGTATGGATAACCATCAAGATGATCAGTTTCACAGAGATGAACAATATTTTAGACAGTGCCGTGCATTTTTATTGAAATAAAAAGGGGTCGATTCTTCATAAAATCATATTACGTGAGATACGGGGGTGCTTCCATAAAAAATGCGACAAAATTTTATTTTTCCGAACTGAAAATTGTCCAGGAAAAATTTGAAAAGTTAGTAAATTGGGCGCCCTGATTCCAAATCTGAAGTGATTTTCGACCTATTTTGACTCCTAATATCATTTTCCGGAAATTGGGGTAGTTTCATGGCTGTTGGCGAGCAGTGTATATCACTGAAGATGACCTCACTTAGTCATAGAGTGCATTTTTGGTATATCTCTCGCTCCAGCAAATTTCAGGATCCTTACCCAACGATTACGTAAGATACAGGGGTGGTTCCATTAGAAGTGGACTGTATATCATGTTACTATTCTTATACAGTGTGTCCCACTTACCATGCTCACCATGGGTATCTTTTTAACGGTAAGAGATACGAAGTCGGTTGAATGACACCAAATGTGGAGTTTGTCAAGGCCAACTATAATGTGAAAAAATATTTTGATCAAATCTATTCGTTTTTGTTTTATACGCAAAAAACAGATTTTGATAATTTTCATGTCTCCCCCATAACTTCTTTATTTATGAACATATTCAAATAAAAATTTCACATTCTCATGGCAGTTTTTCAGAGTGATTTCGAAAAAAATATGAAATTTATACCAACTCTTCTAGAATTCGAGATATCAGCACCAACTTCAGTTTTTCAAATGTAGGTCATAGCTCACTATGACTTAGTTACAAATAACTTTTTTTTCTCTCACAGATGATATGTCGGAGTAATAGTTTTGTGTTGATAACAACGGAGTTATCGTCATTTTTACAAAAACAAAAAATTATTTGGATGCCGCCATCTTGAATTTATGAATTTTAACAAAAAAATCATGATCTTCGACCTCAAAAACCCCCACTTACCAATTTTGAATGGTATCGGACCAAATCTTGTCCGTCATCTTGGAGCAGCCATTTTTTTTAATTTCAACAAAAATTCCATAACTCCGACTAACTTGAAATTTGGCAGGTGTTCATAATTTCGGTGACAATACATAATGGGATTTTTATTGAAATTTAAAAAAATGGCTGCCCCAAGATGGCGGACAAGATTTGGTCCGATACCATTCAAAATTGGTAAGTGGGGGTTTTTGAGGTCGAAGATCATGATTTTTTTGTTAAAATTTATAAATTCAAGATGGCGGCATCCAAATAATTTTTTGTTTTTGTATAAATGTCGATAACTCCGTTGTTATCAACACAAAACTATAACTGCGACATGTCATCTGCAAGAGAAAAAAAAGTTATTTGTAACTAAGTCATAGTGAGCTATTCGAAAAACTAAAGTTGGTGCTGCTATCTCAAATTTTAGAAGAGTTGGTATAAATTTCATATTTTTTTCGAAATCACTTTGAAAAACTGCCATGAGAATGTGAAATTCCTATTTGAATATTTTCATAAATAAAGAAGTTACGGAGGAGACATGAAAATGACCAAAATCTGATTTTTGCGTATAAAACAAAAACGAATAGATTTTATCAAAATATTTTTTCACATTATAGTTGGCCTTGACAAACTCCACATTTGGTGTCATTTAACCGACTTCGTATCTCTCACCATTAAAAAGATACCCATGGTGAACATGGTAAGTGGGACACACTGTATAACAAAAATCAATACTCTGAAGCATAGAGGAACAACATCAGAAATAATTAGCCCACAACAAGTCAATTCTATTTAACTTCATTCATTGATAATGGAAAGATCGGAGCTTCAGAACATTCCACAAATAGAAAGGAATATGCCCTTAATCTATTGGCATCGAACACCCTGTATATTCACCCATCACATTGGGGGATCTTATAATGCTACTCACCCTAAACATCGGACTGGCCATCGAAAGGATGACCTTGTGGGCCGTAACGCGGTGTCCTTGACAGCTCAAGATGACGTCAGAAGAACCCTCGTTTGTCAGTAGTCGCAACGCCCCCTCACGAATGACACTGTCCATGTCAAATCTGGAAAGAAAATGTATCAAGATTCCCGCTTTCATGGATAGCCAAACTAAAAAGAAGAAGAAATGAAATGATAAAAGTTCTTTGATGAATATTTATCTATAAAAATGTTTTCTAGAAATAATGTACATGGCAAAACAACGTTTGCCGGATAATATAATATAATAATCTCAATCTCAACTGGTATATTTCCGGATTCATACAAAAAATCTATCATGATCCCGGTCTTCAAAAAAAGGGATAAGACAGATACAAATAATTATCGCGACATCTCACTGCTTTCAAATTTTTCAAAATTACTGGAATGGATTGTCAACAAAAGAATAACATCATATCTGGGCACACAAAAAATTCTCACAGATTCACAATTCGGATTCAGGAAAAACATGAATACTACGGATGCTACTTTTCAAATGATAGAAAAATTAATGAAATTTTAGAATCAAAACAGTATCCTTTGGGAATATTTTGCGACCTGTCTAAGGCATTTGATTGCGTTAGTCATAATATACTTCTAAATAAACTAGACTACTATGGAATCAGAGGTCTTGCTAAAGATTGGTTCAAATCATATCATTCTATCACGGCGAATGATGTGTGTCAGAGTGAAATATGAAATATCAGGAAACGTATCATATAAAGATTCAGATTATACTCATATACAGGCAGGAGTGCCACAAGGTTCAGTGTTGGGCCCTACACTATTTCTGATCTATGTGAATGACATTGTTTGTAACTTTCCTACAGTTACCTTCACACTGTTTGCTGATGACACTAGTATATACTAGTTACGGGAAAAAATTCGGACCAGCTCACTACTTCGTCAGTAGGGATAATGGAGGGAGTATCAGACTGGTTTCTAGCTAATAAATTGTCTCTCAACTATTCTAAATCGAATAATATACTATTCAGCCTTTACAAAGATATGGATGATATCACTATTCACCTCGATCAAAACTCTATTGATTCTGTGAATTCAACCAAATTCCTAGGAATAAACATAGATTGCAAGTTTAACTGGCTGGAACATTCCTCTGCACTTCAGTCTAAATTGAGTAGCTTAATTTTTGCTTTACGTACCATTAAGAGAAATACCAACCTCTCGACCACAAAATTAGTATACTTTGCTTATTTTCACAGTATCATGGTATAGAATTTTGGGGTACATCTATATACGCAGCAGAGGTGTTTGTAATACAAAAAAAGCCATTCGAGTATTATTTGGTTTGAATTATAGAGACTCTTGCAGAATCCTTTTCAGAGACCACAAGATATTTACCTTAACGAACACCTATATATTTAAAATAAGTGTGTTAATACACAAAAAGCGAGCAACACTGACACGACCATCAAACAAACATACATATCCAACTAGAAATCAAGATTATATTTTGCCAAATTATAACTACAACAGATCCAGGAATGGACCACTGTATTCAGGAATCAAAGTCTATAACCACTTACCCTCCAGTTTGAAATCTTTAAATAATTTTCGATTCAAAGCAAGGTTGAAAATAATTTTGCATGAGAATGTTTATTATCATTTAGACGAATACTTCTCTCACAATTTAGAATTAGATATCACATGAAATTTACTATTTATGTACCGTGCTCGACTTTCTCGATGCTTTACGCTAGATAATCGGAAATTTTGTTAAATTATAATGTAATATTGATACCACTGTTCTTCCGATTCTGAGAAATAAATATATCTATCTATATATCTATATCTATCTAATAATGACAATGAAGAAGTTTTGCAAAAACGGAAGCGAGTCACACTGTATCCCTATAAAACATTCGTCTTATGATGATGGGACCATCTCGTTCTTATAATCATCATCATGTATAATTATTTTTTATTCACGGTGATTTCGTAAGATTTTTTATTGCCCTCGGTAGGTGTTCCAGTCAGCGCTATCGATCAAAGTATGGAAGTTATTTCCTGTAATTACAGTACGAAGCCCAATACTATATCATCAAAAACTGGAACTGTAGATTTAGTGCCATGTTTTATATACAGTGTGTCAAAGATAAAGATGTCTATCATGGGGTGAAGTTGATGATGGTTCTCCGAAACGAAACGTCGTATGGAAAATCTCTCTACTCATTTTTGTAGTCCTCAAAAAGTAGGAATGAGGAAGTGTCTTTTGTTTTCGTATATCTATTTGAATAACGTCAGAAAAAATAAAAACGATCCAACTGATAGACATCCTTATCTTGGACATAGTGTATAATGTAAGATACTATCATGTTTGTCTGATCGTTCAATTGCTTTTATGATCACAAATAACAAATAATTTGACCATCATCTCAAGATTTCATCATTTAATGAATAATTCAGAAAATTACAATTAAAAAATAACAAGTTTCAACTCATAATTCGAGTGAATATGATATAAGTAAATCATAGATAGATAGCAGATTAGGTTAGGAATGAAATAAAAGTGTCTATGAATATGATATCCATATCCCAAAATGCTTCATTTTCGAGATACAATAAGGTGTTCATTGATTATTCCACTATTGTTCTCGAGAACCAATCAGAATCGACCATTTTCACGATTTTTCCTGTATCACAGCGATGTTTTTTCTGTAAAATTCCATCAATAATTGACATACTACAGCTTGCTGCTTTAAGTTTGCCCATGACAATGTTCCAAAACTTCACGACTACAGCTCTAAATTTTTGATGAACAATGTCATTCGCAATTATCAGGCATTATTAGAAACCCTGTTTTATCGATATCTACCGGGTGTCCCAGAGCCTTCAGGTCAGCGCAGGATATATGGGAGCAAAACCTTTCCATGACAATGAAACCAAATCAGCCTCCTGCCAAACACAATCTACTAGAAACCACCCCTAATTTTGGGTTTTCAAATTGTACCCCGAATTTATTTGCTGGAAATTCCACTCTGGATTCATCGGGAAAACAACCTCCACACATAACGCCAATTGACACCGAGATCACCTTTCGCCAACGTACTATAAGGAAGATTTCATTGGGTCTCATCGTAATCCCATCGATTGTTCTCAAGAAATGTGCTCCCGAACTAACACCTGTTCTCTGCAAGTTGTTCAACTACTTTACAAATTGGGGATATTCCCGTCCAACTGGAAAATTGCAAGAGTCCAACCACTTCCTAAAAAATGCAAAAAATCCCCACCTAGCAACTACAGACCGATTGCACTGCTATCTATTATTTAAAAGATCACGGAGAAAGCTATCAACATCGAGCTCATGAAATACCTGGAACATTCAGGTATTATCAACGATAGGCAATATGGCTTCCGTCATCAGAGATCAACTGGTGACCTGCTCGATCACGTCTCACATATATGGCAGCAATCTATTGCTCTTATCATAAATGCTGGTGTTCTGCGAGGATTAATTCTAGCACCAACACTATTCCTACTCCATATCAATGATTTATTGGAAACAACTTCATGTCCAGTACACAGCTTCGCGGATGATAGTACCTTATCCATACCGCTTCCTCTTCCAGGGCTCCAAAAAATACTAGCCAGGCAAATCAGAAACGAACGAAGAAGAAATGTTGACAACATAAATATGGACTTGGCAACAATTCTCGAATGGGAATCCAATAACTTGGTAGAATTCAATGCAAAAAAAACACAAGCATGCCGTTTCTCAAGAAGAGCCGATCTCACTGTGCCCAACATAAGCTTTTTAGGAGTAACCATACCTTTGAAGAAATCTATTTCGATGCTTGGTATTACTATCAGCAATAACCTTTCTTGGGAAAATCATGTGAGATCAATTGATAAAAATGCATCCCAAAAACTTGGTTTTCTGTTTCGGGCCAGGAGCTATTTCACTTCCAGTCAGCTGCTTATGATCTATAAGGCACAGATCCGTCCCGTCCTGGAATACTGTTCCCATATTTGGAGTGCAGCACCCAAACATACCCTGAAACTGTTGGATTCTGTCCAAAAAAGGGGAATTCGTCTCGTGGGTGATGCCTCGCTCACAAACTCACTCACTTCTCTGGAACACCGAGAAAAGTTGGCGATCTGGCTCTATTTCATAGATATTTCCATGGACGATGCTCTTCTGAAATATCAACAATTGTTCCTCCCTTGGCAGTCCCCGCGAAATCAACCCGTCTAGTTGAGGCTTTGCACCCCTTCGTGGTCACTTTAGAGTCCTGCAGAACATCTCTTTCCAAAAGACTCGTTCATTCAACGAACAGCGAGGCTCTGGAACACATTGCCAAGGGAGGTGTTCCCCGAGGCATATAACCTCCAGAAATTCAAGAAGAACACCAATTCCTAGCTTATTTCCCTTGGTTCTCCCGATGTTCCCTGAACATTACAGGATATCCCTTTTCGTGTGAACCAGAACAAAAAAAAATCAATAAAATGGACGACTTTTGTGTCGGTTGCTGAAAAAACATATCATGTATTATCTTCATCAAAAAATGAAGGAATGATATCTAATATCTCAGCACACATGATACATGATTCTCTCGAAGAGAATGTAGAGGTAAGTAGGTATACCTATCTATCAGAAAGATCGAAGTAAGTAAGTAGGTACACAAGATTACTCTCAGGCCTCTCCGGATGAAAATATTTGCATGAAAGAATGAAAGATCGCTATTTAGTTTACCGTTTCCATTTTTTATGGTCACGGCATTTTTTATTAGGTACAGCCTGCATCATGTTAGTGTATCACGATACGAATGCTGTACATACATTTTGAAGTGCATCAAGAATAGTTCAAAACAAACAGCCAACACTGATGGGTTTGCAGATGATCAATTCACGCATTTTAGTAAGGAATATCAAAATCTACTTTATGCAAACTTGAGAAAAAAATTGAAGGATACTCAACTTCATACTTTTATACTAAAATATTTGTAAATCAATGATCACAGATTATTTCCCGAAGCGCTCAGAATAGGTATACATACTACATACCCCTTTGAAGGAGAGGATGATAAATATTAGTTTTAAACAGTGTCATAATATATTTGGGAAA